GACTAAAAGGTGATAAAATTTACTGGATTATGAAAAAAACACTTTGATACAGTTAAAGGAACTGTTTGCGAATTCGAGAAAAGCTCGGTTAAAAAGATTCTTTTGCGGCTTGGAAGCATTTAATTCTTCATGATTTAACAAAACATTTTGGAAAATACAGAAAGTATAATCTTTTCAACGAGAAAACAAGTCGCACAAAAACTCCCAAAAGTGAGTAGCGTGTCAGAAGAAACGCGACTTCCAACTTTGGAAACTCATTTAAGAAAGTTGAGAGCTCTAATCGACTATCAAATTGGCACCGCTACAGGAGACCATATCAAAAATCATCCCCAGAAAATGTAAGAAGTTCCGGCGCTTTTGGACCATTCTTGGATATTGAAAGTGAGGCCGGGTAATTATGGACCATCCTATAGACTACCGTAGACAAAACCTAGTCTTAATTTTATTGAAGAAAGTTTATTTTGTTCAAATTCTCACCAGATATTCCCATTGTGAATCCTCATCGCATGTCACTTGAATCGATACCGATCCGATTCCATTGACCACTGCCGAATCTTGCGGTTGTGCACCGTTTACCTGAAAATTGTTATGTTGTTGTTGTTAAATATTATTATTATTGTTGTTGTTATATTGTGGTATTGTTGTCATATTGTTAAATAAATTGTTATTGTTGAAATTATTCCAAACCTTTTAGACCCTAAAAAATGGGTGTTCCAAGAAAAAGATCAAATATCAAATAAAATCAAGTAGATATTCAGAAAGTTCACAAAAAATGCAACAAAAATAGTTCTTAAAGTAACAAAATTGGATGTATCTAACGCAAGTTACATCGAGTTGAAGTTGCCGGAAGGTGATTGTTCCAAACTTTTGGATCCTATTGTGAGTGAACCTCATGAATATTTGGGTCAAGTTGGCCAAATGGTCATTGATCCGGGCCCTTTATGCTGATCTGGACTAACCAATGGTTTAACTCCAGCCAGGCTTAGTCTAAAATGAAACCGGATGGTCTTTAGGCCCAGTTCTGGCACGACTAAAGTATCGGGCTGACCGGAAAGCCTTTCTCCGCAATGCTCATTACCCATTTTAAAAGCGATAAATCAGCCAATTGTCTTGCAGTTTGTGGTAGTGAAAACATTTGATATTTATCTGTAAAATCACTTTCGAAAAATTGGGAAAAACTTTTGTTTTAGGATTTTTCAAGGGACAAGAAGAGGGTAGTCAAAATCGTCAAAATTTGACGAAGCAATTTAGCTACTTTCTTCCAAAGAAACCCATTTTGATGTCAATATAAAAAGATAGGAGCATAAAAAGTTAGGCATCTAGCCAAAGTTTCAGCTTGATCTGTTCAATCGCTTTTATTATATGCTCATCTGAACAATTCCCAAAAAAACTAGAATTTTTACCTATGTATGCCTCAAACATACTTAAATTTGCTTAAAAAAGATTGTGAACTAAGCAATAAAGATGTTTTTATTGAAAAAAATCGTGAATCGATTGGTGAATTAGTGATCTCGCAAGGAAAATATGAAAATTGAAAACAAAACTTTCCGACTTTTCAACTCAATAGCTTCGAATGATTTCATAGTTCAATCCATTAAACGATTCACATTCATTTTAGAATGCACATAGATGGATATTGAATAGAATTGGGTACTATAAGTTTATCCATATTTTCATTTCCTCACCGAAATGATCACCACCCCATTTTGTGACACTGATGAACACGTGAACGTTCTCACCAAACATCCATTCACCAACATTGTTGAATCACCGGAAAACGGCTAAACTTTAGAATGTAAAGCTGTTGATCAGATAAAAAACTAACCACAGCGAAGCCCGAGGTGTTGAGATCGATTGTGATATCGGCTTGATCGCAAAAGGCGCAAGCTGAAATGAAAAATGGAGACATTTAAAAAAATGCATTGCAATTTCACCTGATAAACTTGTTGTTGTCAAAACGGTTGTTGTGGGTGTGGTGATGACTGTGTTTGGGACGGTTGTTACGATCTAACAATTGATGAGTTCGGGATTGATTTGAAATCTCTTTCCTTCTTTGTTTCTTTATTTCTTTCGAAATAGGATTTTGTTTCTAACTGTTAAAATATTTTATGTCAAATTCCATTCTTTTAGCAAACTTTTAGCTTTTGAAAGCGTTTCATTAATAGTACAAGCCACAAATGGCAAATTTTCAAGCAGCATTTACAAACCCAAACCATAACCAGTTACATAAGCTTAAAGAATTAAAAAAAATGAAATAATCTTTTACACATTAATATGGAAATAAAGTACTATTACTCAAATGCTATTCAGTTAATCAACCGTGCTTGGTATCCTCGTCGACAAAGTTGGATGCCAGTGAGGGATTTGTTGTGTCGTGAAAACGGTAGAGGGACAAATTGTGACAATCGCTTCGAGTAAATGAAAGAATTGAATCGGGAGAAAAATCTGATAAAAGTACATTTAGATGACTGAATTCTCGTTGGAAGACATTGGGGTATTTATGATGGAAGAACAATGAGGGGAAAGAGGAAGAAAAGGAGGAAGAAGAGGGGTATTTACACAAATGGATCATCACCGTTTGCCTCTTTCGACTGGAGGCGATTCGGGATTTCAGTGGTCACATAAAAACTCTGGCTTTTGTAATACACAATTGAATAGCTTGACTTTTTCAATGATCTTTGGCCATTCAAATTTCCGTATTGATTCGAATCTTCTATGTATCAGGACTAGAGTATGTTTCTCTTGACTGATGCGTTTTAAAATCAACCTGCAATAGCTGCCGTAATCTCTCCAATCTTACCAATTTACCTACTTTCCGTATTAGAATTACTCGAAAAGCAATATTCGAAAAAACTACCATAACCTTGCCTTCAATTCTATCAAGTCTAACAAATACTTACTAGGGAACCTCTTTAATTTACCCTCGAGTTAAAGTGCAATGATATAGGTACCTATCGATTGGAAAAAAGGTCAGCAATCCGAATCCGGTGTCCAAACTTGCTTTTGAGGCTTTAGCACGGAAATATTCGAGTTCAAAGTCAATGAATTTTGACAGGTTTTCTCGAATTTCTGGCACACCATTTTTGGAAAAGTTATTACCCCCCTTTACGCCCCCTCGGAAAGTGGCCTCGTAGCCTAGTGGGTAGTGCGCTCGTCTACGAATTTTTTTGGATGAGTTCGATTCCGGTGCTTGCAATTTTTTTTTGCCTTTTAGAAATTCAACTTCTTGGTGCATTTATAATCGTTTTTTGAAAAAAGTTATATATTTTTGAATATTTGTCTCTAATGTAGCCTCCAAAGGCAAAGGAGATTGATTTTATTTTGTCATAAAAATCAACCAAACGTAGCTTTTTTTGCTTTTTTGCCTGGCAAATCAAGTGATCATTTTACACTATTTTCTGCTTCGTATTGATCAAAATTTTCTTCAAATATGGGTAATTTTGATGCAAATATTGTACTTGGAAAACTTGTATCTTTTTTTGGACAAACAACATCTACCCGAGAATTGAACCATGTCGAGCAAAAGGTAAAAATAATTATAGGCAAAAATGTTTTAAATTTATATAGGTGGCAAAAAAAATTAAACTTTTACTTCAGATGGCCGAAATGGGAGAAATACAAGTCACGAGTGAAGATGATTTGGAGTTTGATTTGCCTCAAGGTGCTGATCCGGAATGGGATCAATTGGCCGATTTGGATGCGAAAACGAATACATATTTTGATTATTCGAATGGAATTCAACTCTATATGACCTTTGGGCCATATCAAAAATCAAAAGAAGAGGTGACATAAAACCAAATTTTGATTTATTAACACAATTACAGGTTGATAAGATGCTCGAATTTTATCGCGATGGAGAGAAATCTTTTGCAACGATGGCATCAACCTATCGTTGGTTAAAACAAGATCAGCACAGAAACTGGTGGAAGAAATTAATGCGATACGAAAAAACTGGCAAATTCAAAGTCGATCGGGTGCAAGCTTACAAAGCACTTCAGGCAATGGTTGTCGTTAAAGTCTACGAACGGTACTATCAAGGAATTCCGATTCAGGACCGGGATATTGCCGAGTTGGGTGTTAAAATCAACCGTGAAAAGAATTTGCTTAAGGATTTCAAGGCTTCCGATACTTGGATCTACATGTTAAAGAAATCGGCCGGTTTAGTTAGCAGAAGAGTTACAACTTTCACAACAAAGATAAATTTAAAAAGAAAGGCTGATTTGGAAAAAACAGCTGAGATTTTTGTTTTGAATTTTTTTGAATTTTGACAAAAGCTTCAGTCAAATTCAAAAAAATCAGCTGTCAAAATTCATTGACTTTGACCTCGAATATTTCCGTTCTAAAGCCTCTTAAAGCCTTTATAATCGTTTTTTTCGTGACTAACAAATGAATTTTTTATTGAGTTACATAAAATCAAAGAAACGCATGAGAAGCTCTAGGGATAGTTATTGATCGTACAGAAATGAACAGTATCGAAAGCACAGCCAAAGCAATAACTTTTTTCGCAGTGAGCACAAGTGATGAAGCTTTCGTAACCAAGTGGATCTGGATTATCGCGATAGGTTTTGAGCTCCAGCACAAGATCCATTCCAGGAACCACATTGGCCTCAGCGTGTTTGCGTATCCGTTGATGTAAACGCGTAAGTCCGTGGAAATTTGGCTTAGAAAGTGCCTGTAAAATATTGGTTTCATTTAAATGGATCAGAATATCACTTGTTTTGCTTCTTTTTCTTTCCAAATGTTTTCCACAAAATCCTCCAATTCAGCCAAGTAGCGCACGTAAAAACGTGGAATGGGAAGGTTTTGGCGGCGGCGAATCGGCTTTGCTTTATCAAAAGCTTTGCCAAGCTCCTCGAAGACTATCAAATCCAGCTATAAACAGCCCCCGTAAAATTCCTTACGTTCGTAGAGCTTTGAAAAGTCTTTGACATTCTTTGCATTCTTCGTCTTCTTGATCAGTCCTTTGAGCTCATCGTATTTGCGGTCTTTGTGAGCTCTCACAACACGTCGTTCTTCTCCTCATCATTGCGCGGGTAGGCGAAGTCACGAGCACTAAAAAGGGAAAGCATAAAAATGTCCAATTAAATGCTTAATCAGGGTGTTAAAAAAACTTACGTCATCAAATCCTATTTGGCAATAATATTGATTAATTCAAGAATGGTTCTCCGAGACAAGTTTTTAAGCGTCATAGACTCATCTATGAATCTCTGTCATTTATGTGTTTTTATCATCTAATTTTTAAAATAAATTTTAAATAAAAATAAATAAATTTTCAACAGAACGATTAGTAAAGGGAGAATAAAAAAACAAACATCAGGTCTAACAATCACAGATGGGGAGGTGTTAGAATAAGCGCAGAAACCAAATACAATTTCACCAAAAAACCTACAAATAGTTTGACTAAATTTCAGTATAATTTGCATTCTGTAGCGCCTGTAAAAAATCGGCTTCTCGAATGCCATCTGCGAACTTGACGAACAAATCAACTTCATTTACATTCCACCTCCGGGAGCAAAGAGAAACAGAAAAATCGTAAAAAAGCAGTATTTATTTTTTTTTTGGTTGAATTTACCATATTTTTCTAACACGAATATGTATCAATGAATCGTGTGGTAAACAAACCAAATAAATATCTTAGCTATCTGAATTCGTTTTGCCTATATTAAAAGCTGGAGGCTTTGCTTTAACTTCCACTATGCTATAATGCTATAAAGCAATTTTACAATGTATTACATTAAAAAAAGACAAAAAGTAGAGTTTCGCTACTGGGAAAAATTTCGATTTCTGGATATATAGTATTCAAAATAATTTCTGCAAAAGAAATTTTTCAAAAATTGAAATTATGCAAGTGAATAACAGATTTATTGAATAACAATAGCGATTAACTAGTTTTCAACATAGTTGTTAACTTTGAGAGCCGTTGTAAAGTCGGCCAAATGCTGAGTGTCGCCGAATTCAATATATATATATAGCCCGGAAAGAGATCCACGTATTGTTGGTTTCCGGATGGCAAGCCCTGAAAATAAAATAAGTGCATTTAATTTCCAAAAAAAGAGAAATCTTAATATATAAAGAATAACCTGTAGCATCACGCCCGGGATGAGGAAATTGCACCATTTACCCTTTGGAATAGTTCTACCCATTCCACGTCGTCCGAATTCACGGCGTTGATGACCAGGTCGATGTGCAAAACAATGTGTTTGTCCATCGACAACGAGCTCGGTATACCGTTGAGTCACAGTCATTGCAGTGTAGTCTTGCAAGACGCCGAATCGAGGCAACGTTGAGCTAAAAATAATCCATTACTCCTATATGCCATGAATAATATACGAAAAACAATCCAAATTTTGATCAAATCGAGCTATATTGTCGATGTCGATGAATTGAGCACAAAAACCAACCACCTGAGTTCCAAGCCAAACGCCCTCGCTTTGATACTAAAAGTACACAAATTAATTAAACATAATTAGCCTTGATATAATATCATAGATTAAGAAAAAATTGTGCTTCATATGTTTACGTTATTTTAGTACATTAAAGAATGATCAAGCTTATGACAATTTCAGAAAAAGGTAAAAAGTAAATCAAATATACCTCAAGTGTCATTTCTGGTAGAATAACGTGGACGTTTTCATCCATTTTCACGGTAAATTTGCGACCATCCGAATCGTCTGGCGGATAAACAAAACGAAATGTTTTTGTTTGATGAACGACCACCAAAACGTTGGCATGCACCTCCAATGAATCGAGATCCCGGAAGAAACAAAGTTGAGTTGGCATCTTCATACCACTGAAACAGAAATCAAAAACCCGAAATCAAAATAACGAATTGAAGTGAATTTAGTCATTCACAAACAAGGAAATGGAAGATTTTAAATATAATTGCAATATAATAAAGAATTTGCAGTTGGCACTCCGGGTCACTGCGTGGCTGCCCAAATTGACCGATGTTATACAGAGATTAGATTGTATATCATTACTAAACCCAGCCTAAAAATTCAAGCCAATATAAATTTGATAAAAAATCAAGTTTGTTACTTTTTCTGATATTTTTAAAGCTTTTTGTCTAAATCTCTCGTATTAGGAAGAAGTTTTGTGTAAATAATAATTGACTTGGTGAAGTTGGTCTAAAATCTTCGAATTTTTGGCAGATAAATAAAGAATAAAATTCCTTTTCGGAGAGTAGGAGAGGAGAGAGGAAAGGAACCAAATCTGTAGAGAAAAGGAACCAAATCTTTAGAGGAAAGGAACCAAATCTGTAGCGAAAAGGAATCAAATCTGTAGAGAAGAGAAAAGGAACCAAATCTGTACCAAAAAGGAACCAAGCAAAAAGCCAAAAACCCTAACTAAAAACTTTAAAATAAGTACGGTAGAACCTCTAGTACGGTAATTTCCTGCGTACTTTATAAGTATACGGTATCTTTTTCACCATGAATGGGCTCTTGTATAAATTCTTATAGATACCGTTTTCTCTCTGATAGTATTGCACCCGGGGCGTCCACCTAAATAGCTCGAAATCTCGAAAAGCGCTTATCAGAACATATTTTAAAGTTTTAGTTCCAGCTGATATTTATTTACAAGTTCCAGCTGATATTTATTTACAAAATTCGTTCCCCAATTACACAGAGGGTGTCGCGCAGAAAGCCTGATGGCTTTCTGAGCAATCGGCGGCACTCCATAGACGGTCAAACACATCAACCAGTAGACAGTTACCCGTTGCCGCCGGTTCATCGAGATACCGTTTTCTCTCTAATAGTATTGCACCCCGAGCGTCACCTAAATTACTCGAAATCTCGAAAAGCGCTATCGATGTGGTGGTCGGAAAATGTAGCTGACGATGAGGTCTTGTGGGGATTAGGAGTGTTGAGTCTCTTGCGAAAACTTGGAAACCGTAAAATAGGCACCAACTCGGCTCGGCGCCGTGCAATACTATTAGGGAGAATACGATAATAAGGACTTGTAAATAGATGTTTTGTTTAGGTAATTCTCGTCGAGAGTGGTGAATTGGTGAGAAGTTTCGGGGAGCACACAGTCAGTGTCGTTTCTTTACAATTGACAAGCAACGATCAACCACTGATAACTGGTATTTGAATCCAGAATTGTCACATGAAAAAAACATTTTGGATCTGGTGATTTCGTGGTTCAAGTTTGGGATATTCATTCGGGGAGGCTCGTCAACAGAATGGGCGGATTGATGGGACCGGTCACTTGCATTGCGATCACTAGGTTACTGTAGCTGAAAAGTACAGTTCAGTACAAAGTACAGCAAGCCAGTGCTGAGAAAAGTACAGTATTTTGACTCACTTACGGATAAAGTCTAGTGCAGATAAGGTTGTTGTTAATTAGAATCCACTGAGTATCCTGAAATTTGTTGGGTAGTTCTTTAATTTTCTTCGTAAGTAAGTCAGAATACTGTACTGAACTCGGTACTGACTTGCTGTACTTTGTACTGGATTGTACTTCAGCGTTGTGAAAGAGGAAGGCTTTAAAAACCGAAAATTTCTCTAGCAATGACGCTTTTGTGGCGGTGGCTTGTGAGGATGAGACGTTGAGGATTTTCGGTACAGTGAGCTGTCAAGAATTGCACGAACTGAGCGGACATTAAAGCAAGGTAAACGAGATGATTTCTACAATACCGAGCAAAAGTCTTGCAACATCACTTTTTCAAAAAAATCGATGAAATTTTTTTATAGAAAATGCCACGCGTTCGTAGGGCTTTTTTTGTTTTTAATTAGAATAATACATGTACACTTTATTTACAAAGCAAATTTGAAATTCAGTGTAAAACAAAAAAGTAAATGACAAAACTACTAAAAAATACCCTAAAAATCGGGTGCAAAAGTCTTGCAACATTCTATGTTTTTCATTTTTATTGTTTTCAAATTTATTAATTTACACTACTTTTTGTTTTTTTCAGATGCCAGACTTGACGACTCCCAAAAAAGAAAAAATCATGAAAGCAAGAAAAAAAGGAATTTCGCGAGCCGTTGGCTCCGATCTCTTCAAATGCGATCCTTCGACCGTTTCTCGCATTGTTTCAAAAGTAAAAACAACTGGACTTATGTACCGAAGAGAGAAGAAAGGACGGCCAAGAAGAACAACAGCAAAAGAGGATCGCATACTTGTGATGGCTTCCAAGAAGGATCCGAACATGACATCAACTGAGGGAGCTCGGCTGATCAAGGATGTGGCAAAGAAGGATATCTCTCGATGGACCGGTGCTCGACGATCGACTCAAGCAGGACTGTATAGCCGGAGGGCTGTACAAAAGCCTTTGATGACCGCTGGCCACAGGAAACAACGGCTTCTATTCGCCAGGACGTACCAAAGTTGGACAAAAGCAGGATTGGGCCAGTGTGATTTTTGTCGACGAAACAAAAGTGGATCTTTTCTCCAAAAGGCAACCACTTGATCAGACGACCCATTGGAAAGCAAATACTCCTTAAATATGTACGACCTACAATGCGAGCTGGCGGAGGATCAATCATGTGTTTTGGTAAGCCTTATTTTTAATACATGCATTAATTTTCTTTTCTGGTGGCGATGACAAAAAATGTGGCAGGCCCGCTCGTCCTCGTCCAGTCAACCATGAATGCTCGCCAGTATATGGAAATACTAGAAGGATGTCTACTTCCATTTGCTCAGGATCACATGGCTCCTCGATGGTTTCTCTACCAGGAAAATTCGCTGGTTCACAAGAGCAATCTCCTGATGGGTCACCCTATGAATCTCTCGAATGGAGGAAAAGCACATCTTCCTGGATGGGTCGCCCTTAATAATGTTTTGTTGCTCAATGTGCCCCCTATGTCGCCTGATTTAAACGTTATTGAGAATTTATGGACTTACGTGAAGACAAAGTTACGAGGAAAAGACTTTCACACAAAAGTTGACTTATGGTTCTACATACCAAAAAGTTTGGAGCTCAATTCGACCAGCAATTCTTCACGAATTAGTCGACTCAATGCCTAAACGACTTAATGAAGTGATTTTGTCAAATGGTGGGCTTCAGGGTGATAAAAAATTCGAAAATTAAAGAACATGTTAGCTTATTTTATTTGCCTTCCATTTCAGATCACTGAGTCGATCATTTGATGCAAATCGAGTGATCGCACATCTCTCGAAACGTGCTCAACTCCCGATTCTTTGTCTTCACCACACACCGGCCGGTCCGGATCTCGCGAAAGAGAGACGACGAAGTGCCCGAGCACATTCGATTAGCAGTGCCGGAAGTGAGTTGAATATCAAATTCTAAAAATACAATTTCTTCACACGAATAATGTGGTACAAACAATACATAAGAACAGCCCTTACATAAGCAATACACAAGGACAGCACAATAATGGGGAAAAAGGACCACAAACCTAGCCGGGGGGATTGAACCCTTGACCTTCCGACTAAGACACTGGGCTCTTAGCCAGTCGGCCATGGTGGCTTGAAAGGGCGCAATCAATAAAACACTATCAAAGATTAAATGACGACTAATGTTTCTTTACAGGTAATTTAAGCGAATCGAAAAAAAGACTCAATGGCCAACATCGTCGTACCAAGTACAAGCAATGGCTCCACCACGCCGAAGCCCATTCCGCCAAGGCCAACTTTCGATAAACTAGAAAGGTGAGAGAAAATGTCAAATTTTTTAAATCCAACGAAACCCATTCACAGATCAAAATCCCGAACTTCACTGGTCGAAAAGGATCGAAGCACCGCTTACCCGTTCCGGTAACTTTAACTAAAACATCCTTCCATAAAAACACAATTTCAGGTGGCCGCTCCAGCTCAAAAATCGAATACATGTGGCATTTTATGATGTTGACTCTATTTCTCAACTAAATTTACATATGTTCTCACAAATTTGCATACAAAACGAAGAAAGAGCAGATGAAAAGTCTTATTTATTTGTCGATATTTCTCTTCTTTAATCATTCGTTACTTCGCTTCTTTTCGAATTCGTCGGGTATCACGATCACGATGAACATCTGGACAAATCAGGTTGACTTTTCAATTTTGCTTTTATTTATTACTTTAATTTTTATTTCAGACTCTAGCATGGTATGACTTCTTCACACCATTCATCGCTTTTCTTTGGTATTTGGTAAGTTTTTGATTGGCTTTTAACCATTTACAAATGCTTCCTTTTAGTTCCTCACGTGGTTCTTGAGCATCACTATCATTCAGAATTTCTTCATCGGTGATACGCCTCCCAAACAGGTTCGCTTTTTTGGTTTCAACTTGAGATGTGCTTTCGAAGCTTTCAAATAAAACTTTAACTTTAGCCACCATTCGGCACTTATTGCGGCTGTTGCAACTTCGGTGCTCGCATTCGTCACCTCGTCAGCAAGAAGAATCAATAAACGCTGAAGGGAGAGCAATAACTTCAATACATGCATTTTTAAAGATTTTCTGGCAGATACTCATGTGTTTAATAAAACTGTGAGCTCTATGTTTACGCTTTGAAAGTCGCACAGACTAGACAATAACAACAAATAATGCAAGCGGATTTGTAACAACAACAGATTGACAACAACAAATAACAAAATGTAACCACAAGGACGACAACAAAACAATGCCTATTTCGAGTCTTTGAAGATCCTGTCAAGGAGAATTGATCGTGGTTGAATGGGAAGAGATGCTGCATGTTTGAAAAGAAGTTTATGCATTCCTGTTCCAACTCTGATAGGTGTGCCGAGGGTGGTCGATTCGGATACTCCTTTAATCTAAAAAAATTTAAGCAACCATAAAATAGGTCAATAAATAATTAATTCCTAATAAATAATGGACTAAGCAAAGTTTCAACAAATTACTTGTGACTTTTGCAATTCGATTCATGCTCTAAAACGCGTTCCAAATATTTGAGATGCTGAAAACTTAGGAACATACTTTCGGCAAAAACTGCCACAAGTCATTCCAGATTGTTTTTACAGCCAAAGTTGAAGATCGCATGCCCCAACTTGGGATTTCTTCGAAGAGTTCGTTTGAGCTGACAAGTTTGGCACCATTTTTTGTTTTCCGTTGTCAATTTGTGGCTTTTCTTCTCTAAAAAGAAAAATTCAAAATTCAAAAAGCATGAAATACCTGTGTTTTTCTACCATCTTTTGCCTAAAATACTAGTAATAAAACTAAAGCGTCTTTAGAGTAAACGGAGTTTACTTATGAGCAAAAGATAATTTGACCACGAGCAGGATCAAGTCTATCATCTCCAAATTCAAATGCAACGATTGCTCCGGCACATGTGCGAACGGTTTGATCGTAGCTTAAACACAAATCCTCCAAGCTTTTCACTAGCCGCCGTTGCATGTAACCAGTTTCAGCCGTTTTTACCGCTGTATCGACAAGTCCCTCACGTCCACCCATCGTGTGAAAAAAGAACTCGGTTGTAAGTCCAGAGTAAAAACTAAATGAAGTTTGGTAGGTCATGATGATCGAAAAAAAACCGGTTTTCGACAAATCGACAACAAAATACACCGCAAGCCAAGGCTTGCGGTGTATTTTGATATCGGGGAAAATGCGGAAGACATCGGTTCTTAATTAAAAGAACAATTGTCCCTTTGAAAATTTATTTACTTCAAATCCATCAGGAGATCGATGTCCCGAAATGGCTTGCTGACCAATGCAATCAATCATTTGAGAGATGTTAATGAACGAGCCTTTTGATCAACAGATAGCCATTGTAAGGAGTGCGTTATGTCTAGAAAATATTAATAAAGTACATCTAAATTAAAGCTTACGAGCTGAGATTCTTTGACACAAACTTGACCTGCGTGATCACGAACCACGCCCAAATCTCGAAGAATCAAAGACTCAAGTGTTTCTTTTTCACCGCAGCCGGGTTGCATCTAAAGACAAAAAAATGTAATTGGTGATGATAAAAACCTTGAGACGTCCAAAAGCTAGTTGTGCAATAAAGTCATCACATTTATGATAACCTGAACAAAAAATTTTAAAGCTAAAGACTTCAATATTTACCATCATTGATGAGAGCTTTTCGTTCACTAAGCAATCTTTCTGACCGTTTTACATCACCAATGCCGATAGAAAAGCCACTAAATTTAGTCACTTACAAAACACAATTCTATATTTTTATGAACCGGTTAGTCAAATACACGGGCGCCATTCGCGCTAAGCGCCACATTGCACCCACGGCCGCATCTTCACCAAAATCTCTTAGAAGTATGTAGAAAATGTTTACTTTAGAGCCTGAAAATTTAGTTGCCCCAAGAAACAACCGTACCTTTTTACTCGATCCTAACAGAGACTTGTCTAGAACACCACAAATAAGTTGGCTATTTCTGATGATAGCATATGAATCCTAAACTAAGGTTGGAGATGAACTTGGAAAAACAATACGTTGTGACATAGATCTTCCTTTTTCGTCTAGCTTTTGTTCTTCGTCTTCAAGTTCAAATTTATCTCAGAATCCGTATCAAGCCGAATGATCAATTCAATAAGCTAAAACTTTGACGTTTAAGTTTTTATGACACAATCTGACCTGCTTGCCCGTCCACAGCTCTGCTGGTTTTAAGATCGCAGGTGGTGGGATAAACATCCGAGTTTGTTGCTTTGCAGAAACATCAATAATTGCTGCAGCAAAACGATGAACTTCAGCGCGGGGGAAGAAAGTGTCTTTGTGTGTCATCAAATAACCGCCAGTAAAGAAATCCTAAGAGAAAACAATTCAAAAGGATGCGCTTGTTTGATACCTGTATAGCTGCCACTAAAGGCTCGCTGGATCTTGGAGTGATCAAGTTGCTTTTAACTCCCATCAAAAGTGAAGCCTCGGCTCGAGCCAAAATTTATCAAAAGTTACATAGTTTATTTGCGTGTATCAAAAACGCATCAAATCCAACAAGGCGCAGCACGATTTCACAATTGGTGTTTCTCCGTAATCTATTCTTACCTCATAGGTTTGAGGCAAATGCAAGTTCATCTCGTCTCCATCAAAATCGGCATTGTAAGGTGCATGTACGACAAGAACAATTGCCAATTACCAAATTCGTCAATTTCATAACAGATGTCTAAGCAAACGGCACGCCTTCGAAAACTCATAAAATCCTTCATTTAAACAATTTATTTACTCTGGTACAACGAGATACATCATAGAATAAAACAGGGTACTAGAAGAGTACAATGAACATCAGCGAGCAATAAATAAATGTGACTAGATTGCAGTGTAACGGTATTTACGGTCAAGCAAATGATTGGTCAAATTGGTGTAAGTGCTGGTCCGTAGATCAAATTCCACATCACATTGTCCCACGTTCACATATTGAGCAGCACCACGGGCACCAACCACAGTCTAAAAACGAAAAAATACAGACTTATTTTAAATCAAACGTTTTAAATTTGAAGAAACGAGAGAAAATAAAAGAAAACCAACCTGAAGAGTGACGTTCCGAATAAGGGATCGAACGCGACGCCTAGCGATCCGACCAGGTGGGTTTGTTTCAAACTGACGGTGGCGAATGGGAGGATGGAGAAATCGCCAGTGCGTCCGCACTTCGGCATGGTGCACTTCAAAGCCGCGTTGATTGAACGTGTACCGGAAAGGACGTCCTTCAGTCAACTTAATCAGCGGAATCATCTAAAACATCAAATTTAGAATGAATTAAACATCAAACCCAATATATTTGATATAAGAAATGTTATGCTCTAAATATATCTCCTAACAAAATGATTTATCATCATCACTTAATCAAATATATTAAATCATAGCTATGTCATAGAAAAAAGGTAAGAATTATTATCGTAAAAACTAACCCCCTTTTCGGATCCCGATTCAACAATATGCTCTTGATTCAAGTTAGATTTTATTTAATCTTTAAAATGTTAATTATTTGGATTAAATGTTAATTTTGTTAAACAAAAATTTCTAATTACACAAATAAAGATAAATGAATGTAAGTCTCTTTTAATCATTTCATTTAAATGAAACTTACATATTTTCACGTATGTCGGATTCACCCATATCATATTCATTCTCAGAGTCAGAAGTGGTATTTGTCGATAACTCGCAAGCGGGAAGCTGTACCTAAAATTTATTGATTCAATTCCAGAACAAAGCCTAAGGTCTATTTAAAATTAAAGGAGAAACCAATGATCAAGAATGAAGGAGTTTAAACAAGAATCGAGTAAAAATTTTAAATCCTACCTGATGATAGCCAGCAACCCTTGTGAGTGTTTCTACAAAACTGCCAAACTTGAGTGCATCTTCAAACGCAGCACAGAGGTTGAGGCGATAAGCAGTATCAAATTCAGCTTGATCTTCATACTGAAATAAAGAAATATTTAAATTATATCCTGAAATACGTCCTGAAAGGTATTAACTAACCGATAATCAAGTTGATATACCGTATTTTCTGTAATAGTGGTGCGCACTACTATTTTTTCAACCGCCCTCCAGCCTGCACTACTATTACAGAAAATACGGTATACGAAAAGATATAAAAGATAAACCTGAAGCAACATTTCCGGCAAGGTAATCTCGATCCTGCCCAAGGATTTGATGAAAAATTTCCGATCCGCATGATTGGTCGCGTAGCCAAAACGAAAGGGCTTGCTTCCATAAACAATCTCCAAATAATCCGATTCCAGTGTGAAAGAATCGAAATCTTTAAAGAAACAAACTGCAGGTGCCATCACCACACAACTAAACAAATTCAAGTTAATGACTAATGATCAATTCACAAAAATCAATGATGAATTCCGCACCAAAAATTAGACGTATTTGATAAGCTGATAAAGTAATAGGGGACCATGAAGTTGCGCCGCCTATGTTAATCGCGAATCTTGCGCCGCGCTGTCAAAAACGAAAGTTGCGCCTCTATAGAAATGCATATGTCGTAGCCGCTTACGAAATTCAGCCGCTAACGAATGAAATTTTTCGCTAGCCGCTAGCGAATCGTTCGTAAACGGCTAGCCGATTACGAATGAAATTTTTTCACTAGATGTGTACTAAATCTTTGTAATCGGCTTCTGCGAACATGGCTAGATTCCAATGAATTTACCATGTTTTTGATTCCAAATTTTTTATGCAAAAAAAAGGAAAAAAAATTGATTTTGAAGCGTTATTAAAGTCCGTTATTAAAAGCTGTCAAAATCCCCCTTTGCTGAAATTGGGTCCTCCGGGAGGACTTCTCCCCATTGTTATCAGAGATTTCGGATTCATTTTCTTGCTGCTTTTTTTATTATTCTTTGGTTTTATTATACATAATCATTTGTTTTTTTCAGAATGAACTCATTTCTCAACCAATATATCTCGAATTGCCGATCCTCTCTACTTTAATTTGATACCCAAGAGCGCAAAAACAAACGTACTGGTACTGGTTTCGAGTTATGAGCGTTTGTTTGGGAGGAAACTTAGACTAAGAGACGCTTCTATAGGGGGCCGTCCTATTCGAGTTTTCACGGTATGTTGGATACAAAGACAACTTCTGAGCGCTTCTTTAAAAGCACACTACCTCAGAGGCCATTAAACGTTGGACTGTGACGACAACCGAACTGACGGTCGTGGCACCGCTTCCATAGATGACAACGGCCGCCACACCCCCCACTGTAGCCACCACTAATCCACCAACGCCGATGCCGAGCAATACCGCTCGTGTCACCTGAAGCTCATCTACAAGTTCAGATTGCCTCAATTTCTCCAGTTGCTCACTTTTTTGAGTTTGGCCTGATCTTCCGGTTTCATGCTTTGCATCTTCATAAAGCATGTTGCGTTGAAAGCTGCTTTCTCGTTGCCTGTTTCCTGTAAAAGATGAAGAGCCTTGTAAATGTTTAGAATTTCAGAAAACAAAGCAATTTAGTAATACTTTGCTTTAACATCCGTGTCCCCAATAAAAACCCACGTTAAGCATTTCTCTGTATGCATTTGTTTTTGGCTCCTTTTCCTCGTCGGCTCCTGGAACTTTCGCAATGAAACTCTGAAAAGATGGATGGCTTAAAATTTTCTCATCGTCACTAACCAAAATACTTTTTTCGATGAGCGGCTTCATTGTCAGTGCAAACGCTTCTGGATCCATTGGAAGGCTTTGTTCTTCAAATACCTAAATGATATGATTGCTCGGTAAATTATTTCCTTTTAGCATTTCTACGCCTTTTTTCTATACATAAGTATGTAAATGTTGCAAATGTTTCGTTTCGAGTATTGTTGTTTCACCTACTTCGCTAAAGTGGGCCAAAAACGCGTTCCTCTCAGCGGTCATGAGCTTGCTGAGGCGATAGTGATCGATGGCCTAAAATTGTGTAAAGTTGCTGGTTTTTTTAAAACTACCTGGATCAAGTTCGCCACATCGATTTGATTTCTCTTGAAATTTTCCACCAGAGTCTAAAATTGATTTTACCGTTCAGATCCGTTCTCTTTTACAAACCATGATATAAAGCTTGAAATTTTCTCCGTTCAATGTGTCTCCGTTGATTCGTTTCGGAAGAATTTTCCGAATTGTATAATTGGCGCCATCACAGAGGGCATTGAGGAACGGCTCTTCGCAATCTGAGAATTAAATCGATTGCATTAATTTTATTTATACAGTTGTAGTTTTATTAGTTTTATGTAATTTATGTATAATTTTAGTTCCAGTATTTGTAGCTCTTGTTTAGTTGTACTTAAAACAAGAAACCTCCTGCTCGAATTCGCACGTTAGCTCTGCACACAGCAAGGGAGGGACGTGGAATATGAAAACTGTCAACGGATCGAAAACTTTCGAAGACTTTATTCAGAAGTTCCTTATTGGCCGTCGTGCCTGCCGCTTGCCTCTAAAGATTCCACCATTAGTGATTAAATTTATAGAGCTATGACCTTTAAGAAGTCAATGTACCCAGGATTCAGGCCCGGAACACCGATCGAATCCCGTATCAAGAGCATCATATTCTGGAAGAGCAACTTATGTCATTGCTCTAACAGTCTTGCTTCACCTCTCCAAGTCTTGCTTCACCTCGTCAACCGGCTGGGCCGACCAAATGCTATGCGACCTATACTAGTCGACACAGGATTTTATCCTGATTCCAAATATGTATTCCGTTTTTGCTTAGAAAAACATCGATCTCCCCTCATACGATCAAATCGACGAAATCTTCAAAAATTTTCTCATCTTTTTTGTTCATTTGTATCATCGCTTTTGCCGGGGTTTGTTATTGTGTTTCGTTTTTGAAAAAAAACGCAAAAAAAACAACAGAAAATATCACAAAACAAGCCCGGAAATCTTTTGATCTATCAGAGAAACTGTCCGTTTCTGCTCGCTGTGCTCTGTTTTGCCATCATTTGTAAATAAACTAGCATTTTGTTTTTGAAAGTTTAAGAAGCACCAATGCACAGTACATATTGTTTTTGATTTGTAAAAGTAAACACAATTAAATCAAAATGAAATCGACCAAACCTCTTTAGGAGGGCTGTAACACGAACCTTTAGGCCAAAATTTGACCATTTAAACTTTAGGTCAAATGTTCTTTATGAACAAGTGTGTCATCGATGGATAATAATTTAAAATGTGATAATAAAGTTATGCATGCTGATGCTATTTTAAATCTAACTGATACAATGATCATTTTTTTTGGTAAAAATCTTACTTGTTGTTGCTCTTCTTTTTTACGATTGATACATTTTTTGCTTTTCCTTTGTCAATTAACTGACACAAAAAAGCTTACATTACAGTACATTGTAGTCTGAAATACACAAGGTACATGTATATGTGCTTTTTAATTGATTATTTAATTTATTAATTCAACGTGATTAATAAATTCTTTGTTTTTTCGTTATCATTTAGCTGACACAATAAAATGGTCACAAAAAAATAAGATTGACTTTGACTCGCGTCATTTCCACCGAATGTGTCTCACTCAGCTGTTTTTGATCAAACAAAATCGAGTTTTTTTTAATTTCATAGTATTTTCTTAAGAAACACAATGTACATCAAGATCAACGTGGATCTCTCTGCTAGTGAGTTTATTTTTGGAGTCTCACTCACGGGTTCCAATCTTTTGTAAGAAAATGGTGAATCGGGTTACTTAAGGAGCACAAGAAATCACGAAAGACAACAGTTCAATCGGCTGACGATTTGAAAATGGTAATCTCTTTTCAAGTGTAATTTTTTTAAGTCTTTTTCAGATAACTTTACTTTTTTTTCTTCTTGCTACAGTGTCTGCGAAATCGAAAGTGCTCTCTGGAAAAGAGTTGATCGATTTTGTGAGCAAAAACAAGCAACTATGGGTGCCAAAGCCGGAATTTTTGAATTCATCGGAAGTACAGCGATACGGTGTCATGGATGTGAAATACATTGAGGTTTGTGGAAAAAGAATTCAAAAATCAACTTTTTAGTATTTAAGGTCCAGAAGTAGTTTGCCTTTAACGCTTTAAGTGCATAAATCTTTGATCATGATTTGGTACCTGAAAAACTTTCGATCAAAGTTTTACCGTCTATTTAGGTTCAATGTTGAAGTCTTAAACGTATCTATACTGAGCCTTTCAGATTCCCGAGGGCGCACCGACTCTTGAGCCAAAACACTTCAAAATGCTCCTGAAAGAGGAGATCCCCGAATCATTCGATGCGCGACAGAAGTGGCCGAAATGTAATTCGATTGGGTGGATTCGAGATCAATCAAATTGTGGCTCTTGTTGGGCTGTGGCGGCGGCTGAGGTAAAGTTAATGCGTCTTGGTAAAAGGGATTGAAACAGGATAAAAGCTAGCTGAGCTGCATCAAAGCACAAGACCTCTTTTGATGGCAATAGGATGAATGTCGGTGTGGCGCAGTGGATAGCGCTTTTTTGGCTACTTTTGCGCCGACATTTCTTTGTAGTCACAGACACTCACGTTCAACCAGCACATTAAAATTAATGTATAGGTGGCCTCGGATCGAATGTGCATCAATCCACCATACTATCCTATGATGCTCTCATCTGAAGATATTCTCTCATGTTGTGGCCGCCAGTGCTATCAACAGGAGGCCTGTCAGGGTGGTTATCCATTTGCGGCGATGAATTGGTAACCTTACAATTTACAATGGCTTTCAGTCATGGTGTTTTTAAAAAAATCAAAAATAAAATACAATACAATAAAATACAAAATAGCTATTTTTTTAAATACTAACACCCAATAACAGGTGGAAGACGAACGGGATTGTCACCGGCACCGAGTACGCCGATCACCTGGGTTGTCGTCCGTACTCGATCCGTCCATGCCCAGGTTGTCCCATTCGATACGCTCCAAGATGTCAACAACAATGTCAACAAAACTATCCGAGAAACTACACACAGGATAAATACTTTGCCGAAAAAGCCTCTTATGTGCCTGGAGATGTGACAACGATTCAACGAGAGATCCTTGCGCATGGACCTGTGGAAGCCGCCTTCACGGTTTTTGAGGATTTCTATAATGTTGGAAAGGGAATCTATCATGTAAGTTATCAAATGTTAGATATTCTTTGAAACCACAACTTCAAATCGTCAATCTTCAATTCAAAACTCCAATTTTAGCACACCTGGGGTCGTCAAGTTGGTGGACATGCGGTGAAAATTATTGGATGGGGAGTCGAGGTGAGTTGTTTTAAAGTTCAATCATCTATAATAGATTAACATCATCAATACGTCATAAAAGATCATCAGATGCATCACTTATTTTAGGGTCGAATCCCATATTGGCTAGTGGTGAATTCATGGGGAACCGGCTGGGGCGATCGGGGGCTCTTCCGAATCCTTCGCGGAAACAACGAGTGTGGCTTTGAGGCTGGAATTGTGGCCGCTCTGCCGAGAAGTTGAGTCTGCAAAAACCTATGTACACATTGTAAACAAATGTAAATAAACTTTTGAATGTCACCGAAAACATTATTAGAATTATACACGAACAAATTCAGTTATTTCCAATGGACAGTTTCGTTGCATAAAAAGAAGATGGGATCTAAAGGTTTTTTAGATCAAATACTAGACATAAAAAGCATTGTAAAAGTATTTTACCTAGAAAAGATTTCACGTTGATCCGAAATTGAAATTCAAAAACAATGACGAGTCTTTAAAAGATCAATCACTCAATGATAATGCCCGGAAACTTTCATAATACCCGGACACATGAAACACCCTTGGATTAAAATCAAATGGCTTTCAAAACAAATATGAAGCACAGCTTTCGATTTTCTTATAAAAATGTTTTTCTTTTTGGACGCGGATTTGGACTTGGATAGAATTTCGTAAGAAAAGCCGGCTTCTTATAATTTTGTAGTAATTCTAAGTGATTCTGGGAATGAAATCAGTGATCTGAAATTTGGAAATCAGTGATCACATTGGGGAAAACAGTGACTCAAATGTCTGATCCTTTTGAATTAAAGAAAAAGAAATCGGCTCAAAATTCTAAGTAAACGATTTGACGAGCGATAAGAAACGATTACTAAAGACTTGTTGGAACCATATAAATTTGCAAAAAGATAAAGATCTCACAACTTATGGACAGCTTTTGGTAATTTTTGCCTCTTTTTAAGTTTTTTTCTATACCTACTTTAGGTTTAATTCGAATAGAAATGAAATCTTTTCTTATTATATTATTCAAGTGGAGATCCTATCAGAGTTAATCCAAAGCACAGCTTTCGATTTTCTTATAAACTTTTTTCTTCTGTTTGTTCTTTTGGCATAAATGGTTTGATTTTCAGATGAAAAGGCTCCTGTTGATCATAGGAATATTAATTATGACAGAAATCGTGAAAACGAGAAGTGGTTGGTCATTAGTTATTCCCGCACCCCAAATAAAAACGCAAAGATTTGAGACTAAACTTAATTTGTTTCCCCCAGTTCACCATAGATCTGGCTGAGCATGTACAAAGCATGGTGCTGCACTCGGCCCAGCGGTGTAGTAAAAATTTTGAAGTTTCGTGTCGGGCCGGTGCAGGGTACCAAAAAGTTTTGCTGTCCGGACTGCCCGGTGCAGCACGGTTGACATACTTGGCTGACAAGAGAATGGCCAGACGTGGAGGCAACCGTTTGGAATGAGTCATGCCTCATTCAATAGATCTCATGAGGAATATTGATGACCAAAAAATTAGCTGCCCGAAGCAACTCTACAACGAGAAACGGGGTCGACAAGGAGCAAAATTGACGTTTTTGAACCCCCTTGACGGGGCTGGAACTTTTTATAGAATCAATATTTTTGAGTAATCTTTTTTGTACGTAATGGAACTTGACTGAAACTAAAATTGAATTGAATGAGGTATGACTCATTCCAAGCGGTCACCCCCACTTCTGGTCATTCCCTTGTGAAACTAGTTAAAGTTCAAGTAATCAGACCACGTTGTTTCAGTTGTTCGCGATGAGATTGTAACTACGATTTCCCAGGACATCGAAAAGAGGTCAAATGAAAGGAGTGGATGGCAACGGTTTCTTGAGTGAATCAGCGAGCAAAGCAGCAAAATTGCTTGGGAACACTATATTGGGATGTACTGATGAAATTTTATGCTTTGTTTTTGATGTTATATTGTCTTGTTATAAAACAAGTTGCTAGTTAACGATAAAATGTCTTTTCTTGAGAAGGGGAGGCTTTTGCAACAAGCAAGCTCCTTTCTAACTGGCAAACGGTATTTAGCATTGTCAAACGGTATTTAGGTAGCTTTCATTGCTTGAAATTGACTCACCATTAAATAGATAAATCACTGGTTAATAAGTATAACGAACGAAAAGCGCAATACACAAAAAAAAGAGTTACATTATATTTGAACATGTTTATATTTTTACCATCTTATGGGTTCTTTCCACTTTTTCAACATCGATTGTGACTGATGGAAATTGCTGATGATTGATATTGCTTTTCAAAGAGAACTAATCAGCGAATCATCAACTAATCACTATAATTCGATTATTTTAGCTATTAGGTTAGCCAATAAGTAATGTCG